CCCATTCCATGCCGCAAGCACAGGAGGATTGAGGGGTTCTTCTCTCTCGCCTTGCTTGACCACAAGGTGGTTGGATTGTCTTCTTCTCTCCCCGCCGCCGCCGCTAGGGTGTGGGGGGAAGAGGACTTGAGCGAGATGGGGAGAGTGGGGGAATGAGGTGGCGGTCAATCATAGTCAACACGGTCTCCATCGTCCAAGGACAACATGGACAATTTCACTGGCCGATCCCACCTATAAGGGCTACCAAGCGGTGAAAAACAAACAGAACAAGGACGGAATGGCTTGTAAAGCAAAGAAGTTTAGAGCAATGTCACATGTGTGCGGTTAAATTTTTTTAATAACTTACGTGTAATTATAAACTTTTTTAATAACATACATGTAAAAGGCTCGTATATTTTTACCTGTTACAACAATTCTGACAAAATTTACTTGACCAGTTGCTATTTATAGCTCTGTCCAAGAGCCCCTGAAAGGGCTTTGCTAGATTTCCCCTTCGGAGACTAGCTGGACGCAGAACAGAACGCGCTTTTGCCTGCGGCTGACAGACACCCGCCGCATTGGAGCAGTGCCCCGCGTGCACAGTGCAGTGCCGATCGATCGAGCATGAGCATCAGAGCATGCATGTGAGGCTCCTAAAATCCGATCCACGCGCTGCCGATAGGTGACCTCTGCCTGTGCGTTGCGGCTACTGTGGACGTGTGCATTAATAGACTCATGCTTTGTCATTGTTTTACGCACACCCAAGTGCTTATTTGGTTCCCAACCAAATTTCCAAAAAGTGCTAATAGTTATCACATCGAATCCACGCGCATGGAGCATTAAATATAGACGAGAAAAAAAAACTAATTGTTTGATTGAAATTGCGAGAGATTTAACGTTTTGAGCCTAATTAATCCATAATTGAACACTAATTACCAAATAAAAACGAAAAAGTGCTAAAGTAGCCAAATTTCCAAAATCGGAGCCCAAGTATTCATTAATAGACTCACGATCGTATATGATCGTGGATTGCCATTGGTTTGGTGTGAGAGAAAAACACTATTTTGATTAGAAATTTACGATATTACAGGCCGATTATTCTTTAGACATCTTATAACAATTCTTACGATAGTTATCTCTTTTTACCATCATGGCCATGAACTATGATAAATTTACAAATTACCATGTAACTGTTTGCATCCTTTGCATTGCACCTCTATGGTTTTTACTATACGTTTAGTTAAAATCTTAGATTAAGTTATATCAATTCTTCTTGTATCATTTTTGTGACATCACGCGGATTTGGGTTTTGGCTTTCAACTTTTGATCCCACTAGTTTTGTAACACGATTTTATACGATTTTATGTATAAAATTGTAGGAAAGTGCTTGAAATTAAAATTATTTTTTATAATATTTCAGTCGATATATATTTTTCCTAAAGTAATAACTTACAAAATATGTTGTCATAGAGTATTAATATATTTAATGTGAATTGTAAGTGCCATTTCTATATGGTTTACTCAGGGAGTAATTTTTAATGATTGAGTAAACTAGAAAAATAAGTATCTACCTTGATGCATGTATGTTTACTTGACATATATAGTGTCACATAGCATCTGTGACTACTTCTAAATTAAAATGGTAGAAACATGTAATTTGGAAAAAATAATATAATGTGCTTTTATGGATACTGCATTGTTCCCGTAATAATTTATGTTCATTTTTTAGCTCTAGATTTGAGGGATATTCCAATTTAATTTTAAAACAACAAACATAAATAATGTAGATACAAAGTAAAGGCATTACTTTATATTATCTTTCATAATAGCATATGTGGGTAAGTTAAAATTAAATTTATAAGTTATTTGTATTATCTTTCATAAAGATAGAGGTGTGCACCTTAGATGCAAATTTAGGGGGTATTCTAAATTATCTTTCGTAATAGCTAAAATAGGTATTTTAGATGCAAAAGTTAGGAGTTACTTTATGTATTTTTTATGATGGAGAGATGGGTAATTTTTTCTAGAAATCTAAATCGATTAAATAACTATTATTTGGGACGATGATTAGAGTCTATCAAATTAAAGTCTAAATGTTGTGGGTTTCCATGACAACTTTTAGAATTTTTTTCTAGCGTGTCTTGTGAGGATTGCCATGGAGCCTTCATTTGTGGCCTCCAATGCAACCAGTAGTATTAATTTTTTTTTTCTTTAATTCATAATTTGTGCATAGAACAAAGGAACATTGTGAGTTGTATAACTAGAACAACTCATATAATGCAACGGTGCAAGAACATTCTTAGATAGTAGCTTATGAGTACAATGATCTGTACCTTCTCTTTCCTCCACTTCATCAAAATTACGTACTACGTACACAGCACTACATAAAGACGATTTGTTGGACCAATTAACGTCCTTGGCCGTCTAAAAAAATGCTGAAGTAATGCGACAACACACTTCTCCTCTATCTTGTTGGCAAGTATGGGGACTCTGTTATACTACTTTCCTCCAAGGGTGACCGAGAAAAGCACAGGGGATCCATCACTGGAAAACCTCCGCAGCTGCTGTACGTACTAGCATCAGCTTGCTCCGTGCCTCCGCCCTCCGTGCCCACATCTTTACAAGCTGTCGCCCAGCTCGGTACTCAACAGTACACCAGTAGAGCGGCCATGTTAGTAAAGAGGAAAAGGTCAAGGACGGAGAGAAAACAAATCGGGCCTTGAAATTAAATCCATGGTCGCCTTTCAATGCACCCCATGTTATGCTTGCAAGTTTTACACTAGGATGTTTAGTACCGACATTGATGAGACAACACGATGATAGCAAACGTGCCTATGCATTGCAACAAGTGAAAAAGTGCTACATACCTATTTATATGTTTTCCCCTTTTTATAAAATTTGAGAGCTATAATTTATCCTATGATGACATCTAAAATATAAGCAAATGTTGGCAATAATATGACAATATATAATTAAGCTTGTTTCAAATGAAAATAAGGTCCTAATATTTTTTTTCTCGCATTGCTAAGCACAAAAAATATTTGCTCGTAGATATAATTAAGTTTATTTTTTTAATTCGTTAGTATAGTTAAATATTAAATTTTATGAATTCTTTTGAAGACACGTAACCATCTGTTACTCAATTTAGCATGGAATTAGTTATTGATACCAAGGGCTACTATGTGTGAGGATTATGACAAAAGGCCGTTCTCGATTTTCCACGTTTTATTGTCGGTGATGGCACTGGTGCATACTTGCAGGAGGCACAATTATATGTAGAGATAAGAAACTGCTCAAGATCTTAATTTCACGACTTGATTTTGAACTATGGACTAAATCAGGTTATAATAATATGAGTTTTGCTTTTAATACATTAATAACATGTTGGTAGAAATATTTATTTCTCATCAGTCAAAGTTATGGAGCTCAAAGCCTATAATTTTGTTTTTTTATTTATCTACCTAATTCTATGTATTTAGTTGAACGTGTGAACGTGATAAACAAAGAAATATAATTGCCCAAACTGGCAAAAAAAAGAATCAGAAAAAAAACATGGTCGACCAGGTCTTGGGCTCGTTCCGTCCTCTGGTTGGTCTCTACGGCCAAAAAAAAAAGAGGAAAAGTCTGAACGTTCTTGGAAAAACTGAAAAAAAAAAAATCCAAAACTAAGAAACCTGCCGTGGTTAGTATTATTAGGAATAGATTTCTATTTTTTTCCTATTTGGAATTGGATTAGGAATCGGGGATCAATTTGGATTATGATTCCTAATTGTCTATATAAAATAGGAGAGATGTAGAGAAATGATCAAAGACAATTTTCACATTCACGGAGTTAGTTAGAGGGAGACGGACCAAGAAAATGGGTGGAGAGAAATTTTGACTATTCAATATTAGATATAGATATAGATATGATATAGATTTGATGACTTCCTTGTGGAAACAAGAGTGCAACATTGATCTAGCTAAGGGCTAATTATAGATCAATCCTAGATTGTGGAAGCAAAGAACCCTCATTCCTATAGTGTTAGCGTTGAAAGCGAATGAGCAATCGATTTTTCACAGCTTCAAAGGATCAGCAAAAACTGACCAGCGCCGACTTCTCCCGTAGTGGCGCCGCCAAATGGGGCCCGGAGGCTGTCTGTTAGAGAACCTAGGAGTACAGCCTAGGCCATGTTTAGTTTCCCGTTTCTGAATTTGACACTATAAAAAAGAAATTCTTCGCATTAAACTTCACTAAATGTTAACGAAATTAAAAATTAAGTAGTTTGGTTCTACTTTACAAGATTTAACTTTTTCTAATTGTCAAGATTAAATAATTATTCGAAATAAAAAACAAACTTGATCGGAAATTCGGCGGCGCCAATTCGATGGCCGAACTAAACATGGCTAGTAGAACGAAAGAAATCTTCGCTCTTCACTGTTTTTTTAGTAGTACTCCTCTGAGTTGGATTCGATACTTGGACGGTGGTGATTGGCCGGCAGCTACCTGGCGAAAGCGGACAAGAGCTCACTCATTCCCGCGCACACCCTCGAGCCTGACACACGGACGGTGAGGCCTAGTCACACAGACGGTGAGGCAGTCAGGCTGCTGCTCCTGCGTTGCTTGACGCATGCCAACCATTGCAGGCCCGTGAGCGTGCTGACGCATGCACCATTGCACCACTGCACCCGCGAGCGCGACATGGCATCCGGCCATCCGGCTCCGTCCGCCGTCCGGCATCCCCAACCCGACACGGTGATCCTGATCCACTCGAGCTAAAAAGCACACCCGTTTACTGTTTCGTGAGCTAAACCACCGTAGCCGCAGCCCGTCCACACGCAACCGAATCCCGCGGCCCCGCCCGCCGGCCACCTCGGTTTATATCTCACGCCCTCGCTGTCATCACGCAATCAGTCTCACTCTCACTCGCTCGCTCCCCACTTCACATCGCCGAAGCACCAACACCACCTCACCCTCTCCACTCCACTCCACCGCAGCACCGCAGCGCGCAGCAGCAGCAGCAGAGGAGGAGAAGGAAGGGATGCCGGCCGGCGTGGTGGACGTGGCCGCCAAGGGCGTCAGGCTGGAGCGGCACGCGGTTCTGCTGCGGCGCGCGGCGGGGGCCAAGCAGCTCGTGTCGGCGTCGTCGCACCTGCTCTTCCGCGCCACCGTGCTCGCCACGCTCGCGCTCGTCGTCCTCTTCGCCGTGCACTACCCGTCCCTGCTCTCCCACTCCTTCAGCCTCTCCGCGGCGCCCGCCTCCGGCTCCGGCTCCTCCTTGTCCTCGCCGCGGTCGCGGCACTCGCACCGGAGCCTGCTGGGCTCGGGGGGCGTCGTCGTCGTACGGGCGGGGCGCGGCGTGGGAGAGGGAGGTGCGGCGCAGCGCCACGCCGCGGCGGGACGGGGCGCTGTCCGTGCTCGTCACGGGCGCCGCTGGCTTCGTGGGCGCGCACTGCTCGCTGGCGCTCCGGGACCGCGGCGACGGCGTGCTCGGCCTCGACAACTTCAACGCCTACTACGACCCGGCGCTGAAGCGCGCGCGGCAGCGGCTGCTGGCGTCCCGCGGGGTGGTGGTGCTGGACGCCGACATCAACGACGCCGCGCTGCTGGAGCGGCTCCTGTCCGCGGTGCCCTTCACGCACGTGCTGCACCTCGCGGCGCAGGCGGGCGTCCGCCACGCGATGCGGGCGCCGCAAGCGTACGTGGCCTCCAACGTCGCGGGCCTCGTCGCGGTCTTCGAGGCCGCCGCCAGGCACGCCGACCCGCAGCCGGCGGTCGTGTGGGCGTCGTCGTCGTCGGTGTACGGGCTCAACACCGAGGCGCCATTCTCCGAGGACCACCGCACTGATCGACCCGCGTCGCTGTACGCGGCCACCAAGAAGGCCGGCGAGGCCATCGCGCACGCGTATAACCACATCTACGGGCTCTCCATCACCGGCCTGCGATTCTTCACCGTGTACGGGCCATGGGGCCGCCCTGACATGGCCTACTTCTCCTTCGCCCGCAGCATCGTCGCCGGCGAGCCCATCACGCTGTTCCGCACCTCCGACGGCGCCGACGCGCGCCGCGACTTCACCTACATTGACGACGTCGTCAGGGGCTGCCTCGGCGCGCTCGACACGGCCGGCAGGAGCACGGGCTCCAAGTCCGGCAAGAAACGGGGCCCCGCGCCGCTCCGCGTGTACAACCTCGGCAACACCTCGCCGGTGCCCGTCACCCGCATGGTCGCCATCCTCGAGAAGCTCCTCGGCAAGAAGGCGCACAAGCGCGTCGTCACGATGCCGACCAACGGCGACGTGCCGTTCACGCACGCCAATGTCAGCCACGCTGCGCGCGACTTCGGCTACCGCCCCGCCACCTCGCTCGAGGCCGGCCTCCGCCATTTCGTCGACTGGTTCGTGCGGTACTACAAGGTCGACGTCAGGGGCGGCGGCAATGTCCTCGCCGGCAAGACCGCCAAGAGGAAATCTATGCCCATGTCGGCAGCATCGTGAGCAGCCGCCCCGCCGCCGCCGCTGCGGCGTGTTCCCCGGCCCGGCCGTCCACCACCAAGTGTGCATTCGATTGTCCTTGGAGGCTAGCTAGCTAGCAGTGTCCTGTAACTTCGCAAGGTGCTTATTGTTTAAGCCTTGCTGCTTTTGCTTCTTCATGATGCTACCATAGCAGTGCTTAGTGCCATGGAAAAGGATCCATAGATACACTAAGCTTAACTGCTTAAGAAAAAAAAAAGTAGAAAAAGATGTGGGCATCAGGGTGTGGTATAGATAGACAACAGAGCAAAGTAAAGGAGCCATGTCTGAACAAAGATCACTGGCTTCCTTATGATTCAGATCATTCTGCTCAAATTATTACTATTTTTTTTTGGGTTTGATACTATAACTATCTCATTCTTGTTCACTGTGAGTCTGTGACCTATATAAGACTCATGCCAAGAACTCAAAGATGCCGTGCTTGATGTAAATCCAAGAAGTTGCAGGCTGCGAGAATGGCATTGTTTAGGTTTCGGCGGTGGACTTGATGCATGCTTCTGCTTCTGCCACATATATATATATATATATATATATATATATATATTTATTTATTTATTTATTTTATAAATTGCAAATTTGGGCGCTGCATTTGCCTCTTTTGTTGGTTCTCTGCACCAGGGTATCTTACTGCATGTGGAGCGATTGCGCAATCGGTTCTGAATTTTGTTGCAATGCAGCGTGGCTGGTGAGAGCGGACATGAAATGAATTTGTTTGGGCATTGGTACAAGTTCCTTTTAGAATGATGCACTCGACGGGGGGAAAAGGACGACGGTTTGTACCGTGGTACAGTTCTTGGTGGCTTGGTTCCTTGGCCTCTTGCAGCTGTTTCCCCAAGATATTTCATCGAGTGTGATCATCCATCCCAGCAGCAAATTCAGCAATTGGCCAATCCTTGCCATTGCAAGAATGACTAGTAGAATGGCAGTGTGTGAACCGAGTGTCACGAGAGGCTACTGCTACTGGCAGTTTGTGCAGCGTCGTTCCTACACTGACTGAACTGTTTTATCTGAATGAATCACTGCTGTACAGCACATTCTACAATCTACTGCGTGTGCGCCTTGGATTCCGACGGAGATCAATGCATTCCCATGGCCATTGTCACCATTGTCCATGTGCCCCTCAGATCCAACCATCATTCATTTCATGCCGTGACAACGATTCCTCTCTGCTCAGCTGCTGCCTTCACACCATGCATGCCACTCGTCTCTCTGATCCAGATAACCCCAGCTCTCCTCATGCCATGTTGCCATCTTGCAAGTCAATCGAGTGTGAACAGCAATGCACTGAACATGGTCTCTACTCTACGCACTCTCTAGTAGGACCACTGAGCTGAGCATGCCTGCATGCATACATGTACTGTACATACATACTGCAATGAGGCCTCTGAAACTCTGAATACTTTTTAGCACTGACAGTCTGAATATGTGGCCATCTTTTTCAGCACAAGGAAAGACATTTTGAATCCGATGCTGGACTGGGCATCTTCAGGGATTGATGCTGGCAACTGGCACTGGACTCCACTTCAGGCCTACCCTGCCCTTTATTAGTTGAAGCAAACAACCGAAGATGTTCACTCCTGCTTGATGTCAAGATCGAAAGTCAAGCGATTAATAAAAAGCATTACTACAACGAGCTACAGTGCAGCCTTTCCAACGAAGATGTTCACGTTTAGTTGATGTCAAATCGAAAGGTCAAGCGATGAAATGCAGCATTACTACAACGAGCTTACAGTGGAACTTCCCAACTAAAGTATTAAGGTAAATGAAACAGTCTACTCGTACCACTTTGGGCTACAATGCAACCACAGCGTCGGCCCGTCAACGATTGACAATTATTACCCAAATAAAACAAAACGCTACTTTTTTCATCCATCCATGCAATTTGGGCGGCGCCAAATCTGGGGCCGAACTAAACGCGGCCTAATCGGTCCTTTAGGTAAATGACTACAGTCTACTCGTACCACTCTGAGCTACAATACAACCACACACGAGAAGTCACAAAAGTCTACAGTGCCCATTGCATGGCCTGGTAACTGTACAACTAGGCCTGGCTGGGTTTTGTTGTCGCTACTGCTGCATCAGAACAGAAACCTGGTCCCCGTCACCCCGTGGACACGGTGAGCTGGAGGACTAAGCAGTGTTTGGCCTGTATCAGCATCAGGTTAAGCAGGTGTTCAGCCTGTTCGCCTGTTGGCTTTGGTTTCAGATACTGTGTTTTCTCTCACAATAAAACTAAACTAATACCAGTCGGATTTATCAATTAAAACCAACCAACCAGCGAACAGGTTGGTTGACCTCATCTAACTAACTCTGGTCCCCTTGGTTTTTTGGTGGAACCTCTGGTCTCTTGTGCCTCACCACTTGTAGTAGTTACCGCAAATTCTGTGCTGAGAATGAGATGCCTGCCTTTTTCACTTTTCACCGACAGATGGCCTTATTCGCTTTCTTTGAAAAGCAGCCATTTGAAAAGATCGTTTTCCGATTTGTTGTTAGAGAAAAATATTGTTCGTTTGTTGAAATAATTACATTTCGAGACCAGCGAACGGGGCCAGAAACGCTATGGATGATGGATGCAACTGTATGTATCTGAATTTCCTGAGAATGCAAGTTTCGCAGCTTGTCTTGTCCTGTTAATTGCATCCGGGGTGGCTGCTAATTGCTCACCCCATGTGTGCTTGTTTCTGCTAACCTTTATGTGATTGATACTGTGAACAGTGAACAGTGCCACTAGCCTGGAACCAACCCTGACCCATAAACCAAAGAATTGGTTAGTGAATTCAATTTGGATGGTACTGGGATACTGTTGCTTATAACTTCTGATGGACATTGAAAGCCGTTTTTTTCCAGGACAAACGACTTCGCCATATGGTTCCTGCACATCCAGGACTGATATACTAATAGCTGAGTAACTGAACATGTTGTACATACATTCGTCACTTTTTCTTTCCTCATTCCATGGGAATTGAAAACCTAGTCTGTCAAGACTCAAGACATGCCACCAACTCCAGAACCAGAACTCCAAGGCCAAACCAACATCTGGATTTGCCTCGGTGGTTACTAGCAAAAAGGCTAGATTTAAGTAATTTGGAGCTGATCTGTTTGTGGTATTGCAGTACTACACTTATACCTGCGACAATGCCTCATTTTATCAGTCTCGTCCCTTGCGGTTGAAGCCATGCATGGATCACTGGACGAAGGAGCTGAAACTTTCGCTTTCCATCAGGCATCAGCAGCAGATCTTGTATCACTTATCAGACAACACGATCTTGCAACAACCTTTTCCTGACCCCAGCAGTCACCGAGGATATCTAAAGCTCCTAGTCCTAGATGCGACCATGTGTGTGTGTGTCATCACCGAGGTTTCTTCATTGCGCTGCTTGCACAAGTGCTCCCCTCTGTTTGTTCACTCCTTTTCTTTGCGCTGTGCGGCACAGCTGCGCCTGCGCAGTAGCGTTTCTGATCTGGGCACCTGGCCGAACGACCTGCTGCGTCCACTGAAGCTCGTCAGGGCAATCGAGGGCCTCTCTTTGTGCCCTTCTCTGCGTCCATGCTCGATTGGCCCTGCCTGCCTCCTGCCTCCTGAGATGGGAAATCGAGAACCAATTGCGCCGTAGGGAAGGTCAACTTGTTGGTGGAAAGCACGGGACACTCCACTCTGCTTCAGCTGCCCTGGACATCATGGACATGCGCGTCGCTCGTACGAGGAAGAGCTGACCGGAAAAAACTGCGACCGATATAGCGTCAACGCGGTGTATGTGGGCGGTGGGCCCCTGCTGTGGCTTCGTGAAGGAACCGGACGGGCCCAAGGAGAAAATGCAACGAGTCATCTCGCCCGACACAAAACGGGCCTCAGTTAGGCCCATGTTTCAGTTGAGGCCCATCTGGCAAACGCATACGGAGGACATTCTAGTCCAGAGGAAAAGGTCCGCAGCCGGATAAAACAGGTCAACAGACGGAATTGCCCAACCAACCAACCAACCCAGCCGAACGGGTGGGCGCAGTCCGAATTTTTTATTTTTTTTAGCCTTTTTTTTGAAATTTTTTTCACAAATATGTTCCTGGATGGATGATTTCAAAATCTGGACCCTTAACTCGGCGCCATCGCTTACACTTCTCGGCGCCATCGTTGCTGGCGCCGAGGTCTTAGGCTCGACGCAGACGTGGCGGTGACTTGTCACGCAGCTCGGCGTCGTAGATTCTGGCGCCAAGCTTGGCACCATGATCTATGGCGCCGAGGTGGTGTTTTAACCCGGCCCCCAACCTTCTTACCCGATCATTCTTCCTCTTCTTTCTCCTTCCTCTCGGGTTTTTTCTCTCCCCACTTCGTTCTAATCACGAATCGGCATATTGGACCTTGGAAACTTTGATTTGATCCGTAGATCTTCGAGAGCAAGGTATCCTCGCTCCCCTTCTAGTTTTGTTCGCATCGATTCGGTATATATTAGTCGGATTTTCAACCTAAAAATCGTCATTACTTAGGGTTTCATGTAATTTTTAATATTTGTATTATACAACCGTAGGATGCCAAGGTGTGAAAAAGCTAGCAAAACAAGGTAACCGCAACGCATGTTGTTATGCTATGGGTTTATTGTTGTGCATTAAATGGGAAACCCTATGTTTAGGGTTTAATATTAATTGCTTTAGGTTCTAAGAACGAAATTGGTTGTAGTTATGGCCGAATGACCGAAAATGCATTTGACCCATTGCCTCTGCCTAGTGGTGTTCCAGTGTTCATGTGCTTTTGCAGCGATCCTTACAAGGTAGCCAAGTTCAATAAAGATGACACGTATAGGCAGATGTATTGGATGTGTTCCAATTTTACGTTTGAGCCTACACTTCGTCAGCGCCGCATTAACAAAATGGTGATGAATTGATGTTTGTGTCATATGACATCTTGCATGATTTTTTTGTTTTATAACAATTGTATTTTTTCCAGACCCCTCCACCGCTATGTGATTTTGAGT